GTGTGTGTGTGTGTGTGTGTGTGTGTGTGTGTGTGTGTGTGTGTGTGAGAGAGAGAGAGAGAGAGAGAGAGAGAGAGAGAGAGAGAGAGAGAGTTGAATGTGCTTAGTCAGAGGACAACCTGAGGGATTCAGTTCTCTCCATCACGTGGGTCCTGGAGATTGAATTCAGGTTGTCAGTCAGGCTCAGCAGCAGGCACCTTCACCTGCTGAACCATCTTCTGGCCTTGTTATTATTATTATTATATTTTTTGGCCTTGTTATCGTTATTTTATTTTGAGACAGGATGTCTCTGTGTAACCGCGTTAGCCTTGACTTCCTGCTCCTCCTCTCTTGCCTTAGCCTCCTGTGAACGGGCTCATCCATGTCTGGGAAGTCACCATATACACAGAGCACACGGCTTGGGTTTCAAATGCTCACATATGAGGAAGGAGGAGTCTCTACTCAAAGGGGACCCTCCTACCCCCAGATGATTACAGTTGACATATGCCAGGGGCTCTCAAGGGTCACTTGCAGGGTCAGCGATACTGTAACCACCATTTGGGAATGCTCACACAGGAGGCCTGGCTCGTTCCGGCCTCTGCCACCCACCTGCCTGGACTCTGGTCAGGTCATGTCCATTCACCAGGCCTCATTTTTCTCAGTTCCAGAGAGGGTACAAACCACCAAAGAAGTGGCCGTCCTAATGCACAGGAAGTGAGACTGCTGGGCACAGCGGGAAGATGGCTGGGTGGCCAGGTGTGGTCTGTCCAGCAGGGAAGGCACTGGCCCTGGGCCACTTCCTGCCTCCCTGGGACCCACAAAGCAGAAGGAAGAGAGCTCAGATGAGCCACTGACTCTGCACCGGGCTGGGCTAGAGGCACATCTGGCTCCCAGCAGAAGGAAAGGCAGGGTGAGGATGAACTCTTGTACAGGAGTGCAAGGCTCAGGACACAGGGGTCAACCATGAAGGGACAGTCACTTCACCAAAGCAAGAGGCTCTCCATTCCAACAAGGTCAGATACTCTAAACTTAGACCCTGCTGACCAGGCAAGGTGGCCCTCAAGTTCCAAAAGGGACTCTGGGAACATAACACGAGGTTATGTTATGTTATGGGAACATAACAGGAGGTTATGATGACTGGAGGTCATCAAAACTCCTGAGCAGGCTGGGCAGTGGTGGCACACGCCTTTAATCCCAGCACTCAGGAGGCAGAGGCAGGTGGATCTCTGAGTTGGAGGCCAGCCTGGTCTCCAGAGCAAGATCCAGGAAAGGTGCAAAGCTACACAGAGAAACCCTGTCTCAAAAAACAAACAAACAAACAAAGACTCCTGAGCTTCTGGTTTGTCTGGACAATGATGATGTACTTGTGACCCTTCCAGAGGGGGGCAGTGGGCTGAACACATCAGGGCACCCTCCTACCTCACTTAAGAAGCCCAAGTTCAGGCTGAGCACCTCAAATCCAGGAACTCCAGTTACAGTGTGCTTCAAAATGAATGAGAACTTCCTGAGTGCCAATGTTTAAATGTTCAGGGTTTTCCTATTATGGATGCCCTTCGGGTGAGGTTAGGCAAAGGTTCCAAATCCCAGAGAAACTGCAATCTGAACTGCTTCTGGGCCCAAGCCTTTCAGGTGAAGGATCTGTAACCCGTGGGACCCCTGGAAAAGCAACAAGCTTGTGCAAGGAAGGCTGGGGCCTCGCCCACCTACCTTTTTAGTACTTCCAGAGGGACTGGCCCAGGTCCTGGTTACTTGGGGCCAAGGTAGGACACGGCCTTTCCTGTTTTGTTGAGCGTGGCCAGCAGGGTGTCTGTGCTGTGCTCAGACTCAATGCAGACCTTCTTGTTGGGCAAGTCAATGTTGAACTCCACGCCTGCAGGAAGAAGGAAACTGGGATGTGAGAGTGGGAAGCAGGACCCCTCCACCCACTGGAACAAAGAGGTGGACCTCCCTAATTGTTCCGGTAACACCAGGCCCCTCTCCTGGAGCCAGGGGGCAGCCAGCTCTTTCTGTTTTAGGCACCGTGAGCATGGCAGGCTCCTCTCTGTGTGAGGGGTTTGGGCGACAGGGATTGAACTCAACACCTTAAGCATCAAGCAAGCACGCCGCTTCTAAGCTGTTTCCTCAGCCCTCTGAGTTTTCTTTTCTCTTTCCTCCCTTTCCTTCCCCCCTCCCATCAGCTCCCCCCCCCACTCAACACAGCCATCACTAGTACCTCACTTTCCTATGCTCAAGCTAACCTTCCACTTTAGCAATACAGAGCTACTGGTACCCAGGGTATCAAAACATGCCAAGCAAACACTCCATCACTCAGTTCCATCCCCAGGCCTTCTTATACATTTTATTTTGAGGCAGTCTCACTAAGTTACCGAGGGTAGCCTTGAACTCACTCTACAGACCAGGGAGGCCCGAGTTTATGATTTTCCTGTCTCAGCTTCCTGCTCAGTGTGGAGACAAGCCTGGCTTCCTCTCTTGCTTTTCAACAGCTGCCCCGTCTTTCCAGTGTGGTGTCTCCACATCTGCTCACGGACTCAATCCTTCCTAGGACAGGGGATCAGTTGTGCCTGCCCGATACCGTTACCATTCTATAGCCAGCGCACCCAAGCCCACCTGGCCACACCCATGAAATACTTCCACACCATGAATCAGAGGAGAACTGGGGAGGGGGGGCACATGTGGGATGCTAAGAGCCATTGCCAAACTGCCTTCCTACTGTCCAGCCCCTACTCCCACCACAAAAGAAAATCCACAATGCTCTCCTCTAAAATGGTGTGCCAATGAAAAGGCCCCTGTGGCTATGGTCAGGGCCATTACAGGCGTTGGCTTTCCTAGCTGTCACAAAGGGGTTGGGGTTGGCCTCAATGCCTTTCCTTGCCCAAGTCATCCATTAGTCTCTGACTACCAGAGTCCTAAGCACTCAAAACACCTTGGCTGTCTTCAAGAGGAGAAGAGTGTCTTAGTTAAGGTTTCTATTGCTGTGATGAAACACCATGACCAAAAATCACACTTCCATATCACAATCCACCATGCAGGGCAGGGCAGGGCAGGGCGACAGGAACCTGAAGGCAGGAACTCAAGCAGAGGCCGTGAAACAGTACTGCTTACTGGCTCGCTTTGCTCCGCATGAGCTCCCACACCAATCGTTATCAAAAGAATGCACCAGAGACTTGCCCATAGGCCAATCTGATGGAGCCATCTTCTCAATTAAGGTTCCCGCTGGCCAGGCAGTGGTGGCACATGGATCTCTGTGAGTTCAAGGCCAACCTGGTCTACAAAGTGAGTTCCAGGACAGGCTCCAAAAGCTACAGAGAAACCCTGTCTTGAAAAAACAAAAACAAGAAACAAACAAAAAAAAACGTAAAAAAAAAAAAAAAAAAGGGGGGGGGGGGCTGGAGAGATGGCTCAGAGGTTAAGAGCACCGACTGCTCTTCCAGAGGTCCTGAGTTCAATTCCCAGCACCCACATAGTGGCTCACAACCATCTGCAATGAGATCTGGCACCCTCTTCTGTGTACATAATAAATAAATTAAAAAAAAAAAAAAAAAAAAAAAAGGTTCCCGCTGCCCACATGACTCTAGCTTTTGTCAAGTTGATATGAACTAGCCAGCACAGGGACAAACTTATCAAAGGAAAGGCCCCTCAGTCCCAGCAGGGCTGTTCAGCACATGGTGCAGGGCACAATTGCAATCTCTGAATCTACATATAACAAAAAGTTACTGACAGTTGTGAGCTGCCAAGAGGGAGCTGGGAATTGAACCCTGGTCCTTTGGAAGAGCAGTGCTCTTAACCTTTGAGCCATCTCTTCAGCATATGCTATTTTATTTCTGAAGCATCTCCAGCATATGCTGATATGGACTGACATTCTCAGATCATAGCTGGGGATGCCCAAACCCAGGGGACGGAAGCCCGTGGCCTTGTGGGAAGTCAGCAGCCGGGTTCTCCTTGGTATCTCAGATTCCTGTGAGCAGATATCTCAGTGTAGCTGGGCGTGGTGGCTCATGCCTGGAAGCCCAGAACTCATGACACTGAGGCAGGAAGACTTAATGGTTTGAAGCCTACCCTGGGCTACCATGGGAGACCCTGTCTTGAAAACAAAAAGAAAACATAAAAAGAAGCTATTCCAGCTCACAAAGCTCAGAATGGAGTCCCTGAGCCACTGACTCACTCTCACTGTGGGACTTGGCCAAGACACTTCCCCTGGGCACTGGTGTCATCAGCCTCGCCCCACCTTGTAAAAGTCCCACCACTTTGTTGACTGACCATGTGTGGCAGTCTCAACACTCAGTGGTATTGTTACCCTAGGTTTTATTTATTTATGATTTGTAGAGATAGGGTCTCTCTCTGTCGTCCAGGCTAGCCTCAAATCCACGGCAATGCCTATGTATTGTCTCGGCCTTGTAATTGCTGGGATTACAGGTGTGAGCGGCACACCGGACTTTGCTTTAATAAACTTGTTATTGTTTTTATTTTATTGCAGTACTGTGGATTCAATCCAGAGTGTCACACATGCTACTCAAGCCCTTTATTTCTCAGCTACACCCCCGGCCTCTTTGGTCATTTTTACTTTGAGACAAAGTCTCCCTCAATTGTCCAAGCTGGCCTAAAACTTTTGATTTGGGGGTTTCCTGGGATGCACCTCCAGGCCTGGCTATTGTTAATCTGTATATGATGTCACACTGTGGATCACCAACATACTAACACCTCCAGGGCCCCAGAGCTTGGTGGTGTGGCCAAATGCCCACTCTGCCCTGCTGGCTCTGTGAATCCAGCCACGTCATTGACCTCTAGACAGTTCTTGCCTTCATAAAAGGAAGACAGTTGCTGTGCAGTGGTGGTGTGTGCCTGCAACTCTAGCAGAGGCTGGATGACGGAGTCCATGACACCAGCCTGGGCTACACAGAGACCCCAAAGAGGGAGAGGGAGGAGAGGAGAGGTGAGAAAATGGACAACAAAGTGGAGTTGCCTACGGAGGCATGGCGGCACATGTTTGCAGTCCCAGCATTTAGAAGGCAGAGGCAGAAGGATTATCGCAAATCTAGCAGCAGCCTCGTCTATATGGTGCATTCCAGGACAGCCAAGGCTACTTAGCCAGGCTTTGTCTCACAAACAAGACAGAACTAGGAGGGGAGGAGTGTAGTGAATGAAAGAAACCTGAGGTGGCTGCAGTGAGGTGCAGGACATCTCCACATAAGCCACCGAGCAGAGGCCAAGCAAGGTGTGCACGAGGCTCTCCACACACTTCAGTATCAGCTGACCTGCAGCCGATCCCGGGAGGCCTCATGTATCTGAACACGACTCCCCACGTAACCATCTCCCCATCCCATCCCCAAGGGAGAGCCACTCACTCACCTCCCAGCTTGTTGAGGACTCGGGAGACGGCATCAGCACATCCCCCGCAGGTCATGTCCACGGAGAACTCGTGCTTCTGCAAGAAAGGGAGATATGAGTCAGGCCCTGCAATGACCCATACACAGTCTGAGGGGCTACTTGGGCTGACAGGGAGCACAGAGGGCGGGCACAGTCCCACTGGAAGCCTGTCTGTGAACCTAGTCTAGTCAGCAGAGGAGGGGTGCAGGGTTTCTTTGTATCACAGGCTGTACCAACAGAGACAATCTCCATGATGCCTTTTGAAGGCCTGGCACAGGATGGACGGACTCAGGTCTGTGAGAGAAGCTCTTTTCCGGTTCGCCCTTGAGATGACTGCCTCTTGAGTGAGCTGTACCCCACTCTCAGCAGAACTGATCTGGGACCTGGTTCTGTATCAGAATATTATTTTCCACATTGCAGTCACTGGAGCTCAGCAGCCTGGATCGCGACATCAATGATGCCAACAGGCAGGATACTCAGGTATGTGGCCAGCCACCACTGCTCTGACAGAAGTACTGCCTGCTCAAAGGTAGCACCAGGAAGGGGAAGGGTTTCCTGGGCTCCCCAGCACACTGGAGGCAGGTGAGAAAGGATTCCAGGTATTCACTGTTGCACCCCAAATACTGGGAACAGCAGCAGGCACAGAGGAGGGGCCTCACCCATTTTATGAGTGAGTTGATGATCAACATCACTGCTGGACAATGCCTGGGTCTCTGGCTGTTTTCAGAAGAACTATGCCAATAATCCCTTCCCTCATAATATCTGGAAATGAGAACATCTCAGCTCCAACACTTGCAAGTGGTATGACCTCAGTAGCTTAACTCACAGGGTACCAGTCCCTTCTCCAGGGTGAAGAAAGGGACAAACACAGGATTTGACATGTGGCGGCCAGGTTGCTCTGTCACCCCCATCTTCTCTGCCTCCTGGTATTTATGCTCTTGAGAGTTCATTCCATAACATCCCAATGTAAGCCTGTGTGTATTCAACATAAGGCTGAAGCACCGCTGTATGACTAAGCTGGTCACAGGGCCAGCTTCTGCCCTGCTCCCTTCTCGGGTCACTCTGGAGCCAGCCAGCTGCCATGTTAAAGGACACTTTCCTAGAGGTCTACCTGGTGAGAGACAGAGTCTCCAAGGTCAAAGTCAAGGAGTGCACCAGCCCAGCTGGGCCAGCCTCTGTCCTGCGCTGTTGTCCGTAAGTCCCCAAGCCTAGTCACTCTGCTCAGCCACTCCCAGGTCCTGACTCTAGGTTTGGAGATAAATATTAGAGGACAATAGATAGCGAATAGGTTAATAAAATGAGCCAGGAGGTGGTGGCACATGCCTTTGATCCCAGCACTTGGGAGGCAGAGCCAGATCTAGGACAGGCACCAAAACAACACAGAGAAACTCTGTCTCTGGGGAGGAAAAAAAAAAAACCCAAAAAATAAAAATAAAAAGATCATCAGACTAGATGCCTCTAGGTGAAAGTAACTGGATTATGATAATTATTTTCTTCCATTTCTCTCTTGCTTTTGGAAAACAATGTCTAGGCCCCAGGAATGTGATTCAGTGGTACACTGCTTGCATGGAGTGCGCAAGACCCTGGGTTTACTTCCCAGTACTGAGACAGCCAAGCATAAGGAACGGCTTGGGCTATACACAACTGTCTCTTGACAGTGAACCTAGCACCCTGTTAGCAACCCAAGACTGACTCTCACGCTTGCTTTAAGCATTGGAAATAAGTTACTCCCCCTCAGCAATCCCTGATTTCCCCATTTCCATCCAAACATCCTGAACCACAATCTGGAAACTACTAGCAATGGGCTGATCTGGCTTAGACTGCTTTGGAGCGCATGCACAATGAGGCAAACTGTCCTCGAAGTGAAATTTCAGAGGATTCCTTATTTACCACCCTACACCTATGCGTAATTGGGTATACATATGATTCCAATCAGATGCATCAGCTGGGCGGTCGTGGTGCACACCTTTGTTTCCAGCACTCGGGAGGCAGGCAGATCTCTGAGTTGAGGCCAGCCTAGTCTACACACAGAAACCCTGTCTTGAAAAATCCCAGTAAGTCAATATAGTGAAGTGACCAAATTATGGCCCCAGCAAACAAACTTCTCCTTCTCTTGAACCCCAGAAAAGGAAGCCCCAAACAATAAGTAGGGCCCTTGAGTACCCTCACTCAATGGCAGACTGCTCTGCTACAGTATATTCTGACCTGTTTTGTGTATTGCTGTGTTGACTAGTTTCCTTGCTATTTTGTGATCTATATGCACCTTTACTTTTTAATTCGTTGAAGATGCTAAAAGCATAGAAACACCCAGCCTAGACCGCAACCACCAGTAACAGTACTGCAAACAATAACAATGGCTCTCCCATGCTTTCTTTCCTGCTTTTTTTTTTTTTAAAAAATTCATCTATTTATTATGTATATAGTGGTCTGCCTGCATGTATACCTACGCACTCACTAGAAGAGGGTACCAGATCTCATGATGGTGGTGCTGTTCCTGCTGCTTTGAGAACAGGGTCTCATTAATGTAGACCAGGCTAGCCTGGAACTCACTATGCAGTCCATACTGGGCCTTTAAACTCTGTATCTTCCTGCCTCAGAATCTCAAGTACTGTAAACAGGTGCCCAACAGTGTACCCAAATTCAACACCCACCTTCCCCACAAAGTTCATCAAAATATCTCTAGGACAGGCTGAGTGTTCTTTATCTGAGTGCTTGGGAGTAGAAACGCCCCTCATTAGGGAATATTTGCATACACATAATGAGGTATCTTGGGAACGGGATGAGTCTAAACATGAATCATATTTATACACACAGACTGAAGGCAATTTTATGCAATGCTTTTAATGCACCATGTTTGGGCACACACTACTTGGGGCATCAGACCCTGGCTGGTCAGAAACTCCCTATGTAAATCATGCTGGCCACAAACTCACATTGATCTGCCTGCCTCTGCCTCTTCAGTGCTGGGATTAAAGTCAGACACTACCCCAGCACTCAAGAGGCAGAGGCAGGCAGATCGCTGTGAGTTCAGAGGCCAGCCTGGTCTACAGAGTGAGTTCCAGGACAGCTAGGACTGACTGTCACACAGAGAAACCCTGTCTCGAAAAACAACAACAACAAAAAAGTCATACCCTACTGTATCCAGCATACTTCTTAGGAAAAAAAAGATTTACTTATTTATTCTTTTTTTTTTTTTTTCCTTGAGACAGGGTTTCTCTGTGTAGCTTTGCACCTTTCCTGGAACTCTGGAGACCAGGCTGGCCTTGAACTCACAGAGATCCGCCTGCCTCTGCCTCCCGAGTGCTGGGATTAAAGGCGTGCGCCACCACTGCCCAGCTTATTTATTCTTTTTATGTGTACATGTGTGTGCCTTCATGAGTTTATACACACCAGGTATGTGCAGGACTGCACAGAACTCAAGAGTATGTAGCATTCTCTGGAAATGGAATTAGAGGTAACTAACTATGGTGATAGGAATTGGACTTGGCACCTGTGAGTAGCTAGTGCTCTCATCCTCTGAAGGGTGGTAACTCAGTGTGGTAAAGAGTTTGCCTACCATGCCAGGTGGTGGGGTGGCGCACACCTTTAATCCCAGCACTCAGGAGGAAGAGCCAGGCAGATCTCTGTGAGTTCGAGGTCAGCCTGGGCTACAGAGTGAGTTCCAGGAAAGGCGCAAAGCTACAGAGAAGCCCTGTCTGGAAAAAACAAACAAACAAAAACAAACAAGCA